GACGAAAAACCTGGTGATAAAGGTAAACCAAACTTACCAAAACCCGACGAAAAACCTGGTGATAAAGGTAAACCAAAATTACCCAACGAAGATCCTAAACCCACCATACCCGGATTACCCGGATTGAAACCTAAAGTATCTACACCCACCGTCCCCGAACATGGTAAGCATTAAAATTAATATATATATTTCTTTTATATAATTGTAAGTTACATATTTTTAATTCCCGTATTCTAATGCCTTAAAGGAGTACATCCACCAGCAAATGTGCCAGAACCTGATTGCACAACAGTAGTTATACGACCAACATTAGTAGTACCGACATTAGTAGTGCCAAAACCTGATTGCACAACAGTAGTTGTAGGACCAACACCTTGATAGTATAATTAATGTTAATTTTTTAATTTTTTAATCGTACCACTGTAAAAGTTACATGCTTATTTTTTAGGTCTTTGACTAAATAAAACCATATATTTATAAAATTCTCTCGATGCGAATTATAATTTTCTAAATCAAACATTTAATCGTTCAAATATGAATAAAATGCTACTTTGTTTTTTCTTGGAATTTCTTCTATATAAAAAAAAAAATCTTTCTTTCTAATATTAATATATGGAAATTTTTAGAGAATTGGAAAATTTGTTGAATTTGATTTAATGAGACAATGAATTACTTTAATGAAATGCTTCAATGACGACGTATATACTTGATAAAGTATCAACAATTACATTTTTAGAGATAATCTAGTACGTACTGTATTGTACACAAAATAGCCACATGGTATTACGTATTTTGGTATATCTTCCCTTATTGGTCTTATAAACTCATTATACGTACATTATATATTAAAATTGTTAACAATAATCTAACGTTACGTAAAAAAAAAGGGCAATGCTAATATTATGCAAAAAAAGAACATTGAGAAAAAAAAATTCTACTGAATGATTCACATACCGCAAATAGCTGATTTATTACCATAAAATTCAAATGTTAGTAGCAAACTGTATAACTTGATGATAAAACTAGAAAAATTACATAATTCAAATATTAAAATCTCAAAAAAAAAACTTTTTTTTACCTCTAAATACATGCAAAAAATCCAATTCAGTGGTGTAATGGAATTCTAGGCATACGTAGTTCGGACATAAATAGCTAAGTCACAAGTCCATTTTATTAATAATGATCAATTTTGGTGATTTATTAGTCTTGGTATTGTATTTGTACATATTTAACTAACTATACAAAAATGGTAATTAATAGTGGCTTAACCTGAAAAGTGTCCAAAATTTCGAAAATGTGTGACCTTTTCAAAGTAGCTGTAGATTAGTATTTAGTCTTGAAAATAGCATAGATGTTAAAATTTTAGTACAAGCATATTACCAAACTAAAATATATGTGTGTTTCAAATTCAATAAAGAATGATAGTTTTGTTCGCTGCATATTTAACTTAAATTCATCTAAACCTTTAAACCTTATCATTTGCATTCAATTTGTAAATCTAATAAATCTTTCTAAAAGAATATAATATCAGAAATTTCAGGCATCATTTATACATTAATCTAAGTGACAAACAACAAGTACAAGGAATCCTTAAACATATTTATCTAATATCTAAAAAAACTGTTTACCAATACAACTTAAGCAATATGAGGCTAATAGTTTTACTAAAATCCTTTTGCAAATATACAACAAAAATTCTAACAAGAATAATGCAAGTTTTTTGTAAAAGAAACACACTTAAAGGTTCAAGTTTTGCAAGACTTTTAGAGCTCAACAGAAGAGCCAGTATACAATTATGCTTATTTTACTATTTTAATAATAGCATATAAATTGTATTTCATATAAATCTTAACTTGAATTATAGATCGAATAAAGAACTAATAAGTATTACAATGTTATTAATATAGTTTAACAGTTGCAAAATATATTTATTATATACTTTATTATTAACAATTATGATATACTTATAAAAATAGTAAAAGCTAAAATACATTAATTTATTTTGAAAGTATAAAAGCATTAACAGATGCTTTTTTAGTCTTTAGACATCTCAAATCTTTTTCTTGATATAATGAATATTATAATAAATACCCATATTACTTCTAAATAAGAAAATATATATGCTACGTACTAATGACTCTTCAAATTCAAAATTAACATTTGTATATACATTTCTTTTATATTTCAAACTTTAGATTGAATTTTCTTTTTAATTATTATTATAATTATTATTTTAATTGTTTAATTAGTATTAGAAATCAATTTTAACAATTAACCTAACTGGCTTTTGTTTCAGTGTTCATATAGATTTAATTATGCCACAATCAAGTTCTTTTATGATGATTTAAATTAATAACTAATTTTATTTCAGAAAATTTATTCTATTAATTTATTAGCATTATACAACTATCAGAAATATTTATCTTAATAGATTTAACAATAAAATGCACTTTTATTTAGAAAAGAGTTTTATCTATAGAAGAATAATATATTCTTGTTGTCAATCAAACTTAATATAATATGATATTAATTTAACTATTAATCTTGTAAACAATAAAAGTCTTAATGCTAAATTTGGATCATTTATTCTAAATGATAACAGAATGACTGGGTGATTTAAGAACACTGCCTTATAAGCATAAAAGTTAAAAATTTTAGAAAATTTGAGTTAATACTTAAATTTTTAAATTTTTGGTAAAAATTTTATATCTAAAATTTTACAGGTCCTTGACCAGAATTAACTAATTTTGCTCAAGATTACTAAAAAGTTTTACTAATGAAGTCTTGGCCCAATTATTATGTAAAACTACCCAACTGATAATTTCGGCCCACCCAAAAAGGTTTCAAAAATCATGTGATAGTGTTAATTCATCATAAAAATTATGATTATAATAATAATTTTAACATAATTGATTTGGTAAAGCGATTGTTAAAAGCATAAAATTCAACACTATTCTAAAAAAATACATTTTCTTGCTATAACCAAATTTCAACTAATAATAAACGAAAAAGAATGAAAATCGAAATAAAATTATAAAAACTAATCAAGAAAATGCAATTGCACCAGAAACCTTGTAGATTGTATTTTTTAATGCTTCTCCAAAAAATATAACTGATTATTTATTTGAATAAAAGGTTTTATGATTCTGAATCCAGGACGCAGCAACAAAAAATTATTGAAAAAAACATAATGAACCAAAATAGTAACAAATGACTTGATAGTATTAATAAAATTTTGTGCCATTGCATAAATTGGATGTTTATAATCATTTTAAAAGACAATGGAATATTCCCAATACTTTGAAAAACCATAATCAGGATACTTTCTGTTGTAAATAAAATGATTAATTTATTGCTTTTCGTTATTATTTTGTTAGCTTGAATTTTTAGTGCTCGATATATTTGTCACGTGATGGTCGAAACTTTTTTGGGTGGTAATCTAAATCTGGTCGCCTAAATCATATGAACCCGACCAAAATTGCCCAATAAAAATTCCATTAATCAAAAAAAAATTGTCAACACATGTTCAGTTAAAAATTAACAATTGATGTTAGGATAAGCATTAGAATGCTACCATGTATAATAAATGTTGTAAGACTTCAAACTTTTTTTTTTATTTAAGGAGCTATCAAATTCTTTAAATTTTACGCAAAATGGGTCGAAGAAGTTATGCTCGCACCAACTTCCGCTGCCACCTACATCAGTGGTACTATCGTTTTGATAAAAAGGTACATTCATTAATGATATATAAATTATTTATGTAAATTTTTTTTTTTGTTATAAATCGTAATTAATCAGCCTTAATTTATCAGCTGCCTGATACGTAAGTATTGGAGCAGCTTTTTGTCTCGAATCGATCATGGATATGTGGTAATTAATTGTTGATACATTCATTATCAAATGATGTTTCATTGATACATTGTAGTGATTTATCGTATGATTCCATTTGATACATTGTCATGATTTATTGAATGATTTTTATGTGATTTTATGATGTAATGATGTAATATTTGAGATTAATAATCATTAATAGTATTTAAGGGGAACAGGTTTTTTCCTAGAAAAGACTATGGCTTTATATTTAAACTTTTTTACAACAGAGACCATTAATGTTACACATATATTGAAACTGGTGAGGGATTATATCCATCACAATTGAATCCAACATAAATAATTTAATTTGTGATTAATAACAGGCGAGAGGGATTCACTTTGGATCGGGCACTGTCACTGCTGTAAAACATTTATATAGTTATGTTCAGAACGATTTACGGGTAATGCAAATCAAAAAAAAAGTAAATTGAGCATGAAATAAAGTACGTGAAAATATAAATTTAAGGTTAGAGCGATGTCATTTACTATATGTAAATTTTGTTCTCGACATTTTAATTAGTACAACTTTTTTTGATTATTTTCATTTATTTTCGTTTTTTTTCTTTTTCAGTTCATGTCAGGCTGATTTGTTGATTGATTAATTCCTTTTTAGGTGTTTGTATTATACATTAAAATTAGAATTATGCCAGTTGTTTTTTTTTTAGTTTTTAGTAACTTATGGCCTGTTATGATAATCATAATTTAGTTTTTAACAAAAATGGTCTGTTAGAATAATAATGTTTCTAGGTTCAGTTAAGTTCAGTTCAATTCAGGTTCAAGTCCAATTGATTTTAAACTGAACTTAAATTTTGCAGATCTTTGAATCTGAACCTGAACTGAATTTTAAATTTATAAATTTGAACTGAATATGAATTTAAATTTTTGTTTCAGTTTAGTTTAAGTTTATAAGCATGTTTAGATTTAATTATAAATATATTTTTTTTATTTATAAAATAAAATTAGATTGATCTTTAGTAAAAATAAACAAATATGATATATAAATTAATTATTTTGAATTAATTTAAATAAATTTATAAATAATTAGAATTAAGGTTATAATATAAATTAGCTTAAATTAGATAGGTTTTATATATTATAATCTTGTAATAATTTATATATATTTATTTATATTAAAGAAAATTTCAAAATTGCTTAAAGCATAAAAATAAAATTGATTAGTAGAATTCTAAAAATTCTATTAATTTTTATAATTTTATTAATAAAATTATAAAAAATATTATTATTCTTAAAATTTTATTAATTACTTTTATCATAATATTTTAAGTAGCTTTATTCAATATCAAAAATTATATATATATATATATATTTGTATTAAAGGTTATATTTTGTGATAAAAGTTTATTAACATGATTGGAGTTAGTTATTACACTATTTTATATAGAGATAAGAGTACAGTTAGTCACATATGCAACTTTTGGTTGCCTATTTAAGTAGTCCATCCTAGAATTCTACACTAGATACTATACCTATAATTTACTAAGAAA